CTCCCAGTATCCCCCCCCAGATGTGCTGGCTGAGGGGATACTGGGAGTTGTTGTCCAAAAAAGGAACTTCCCCAAGCTCTGGAAATCTCCCTCTGCCCTGAGGCAGGCAATGCTTTGACTGTGGATTCCTTGCGTTGTTGGGGTGGTCTAGTTGATCTTTGGGGACCCTTCCGGCTCTACAGTGCTACGCATCCCTTTCAAAAGGACCTGGGAGTCTTAGTTTTCCCACACCCACAACCCTTCCTCTAAGCTAAATAACTCTCACCCAAAAAGCTTTTCTTTCTTTACACTACAACTCTCAGAATGCACCCTTTTTGGATCGCAGCTCCCACAAGGGCTGGGGGATTGTGGGAGATTCTGACTCTTCTCCCCCCCCCCCCCCCCCCGCAAAAAAAAGACAAATAAGAATAAAGTTGGCCTTCCACATTTGCGGCTTTGACTTTTGCGGATTTGATTATTTGCAGTTTTGATCAATATGTTCTCTCTAGGAATCTCTGCCAGAAGTTGACCATAGAGTTGTGCTGGAGGACCTAGAATTTCCTAGAGAAAACACTTCTCTAGGCATTTGTTGGTCCTCCAGCATGATTCTATGATCAACTTCTAGCAGACATTGACCATAGAGTTGCACTGGAGGACCTGGAGATTCCTAGAGAGGTGTTCTCTTAGGTAAAAAGAACAGTGTGGTTTTTTACTTTGTGGGTTTTCCCCATTCATGGGGGTCCGTCACCCCTAACCCCAGCAAAGGTGGAGGGACCATGGGAGAGGGATTTGGAGGAGCAAGGATCCAGAGGAAAGGCACTTCAGCTTTCCAACTTGTTAGACCTATCACAGGGTTTTCTGGGGCTGAGAAGGTGTGACTCACCCAAGGTCACCCGGCGGGTTTCAGTTTGGCGGAGCAGAGGGGGTTGAACCCTGGTTTCCAGAGTTTAGTCCATGCTGGTGCTTCATCTCCTAGAGCAGGGGTCAGCAACTTTTTTTTGCCGGGGGCCGGGAGGGGGGGAATGGCTCTGGGGGCCGGCACGCGTGCGCACAACACCCACCGTCATGCGCATGTGCGCGTGCATGGGGCGCGCCATTTTGGAACGCCCAACGGCGCTGGCACCGTGCGAATGTGCATGACGGCGGCGCCTTTGGGCATTCCAAAATGGCACCCGCCATCATGCATGCGCAAGCACAGGCGCCATTTTGGACGCTTTGTGCTTTGCATGGCGGCGGCGGCAGGACCGGCCACAGGCTGGTCCCAAGGCCTCTGCGGGCTGAACTCGGCCCGCGGGCCGTAGGTTGCCAACCCCTGTCCTAGAGGTACTATATGAGATTTGTGAGTTGCAGATTTATAGGGTGGGACCCCCAAGGGTCATCTGGTCAACCCCCCTGGTCCAATGCAGGAAACAGCCACTGATAAACTAGTAACCACTGACCAGCAGCCACTAGTATTTTCTTTTTAACCATGTTTTCTTTTCCCCCCAAAGCCATCATTTTGGCTAATTTGACAGCAGGGTTGCGCTTGTTGAACCAGGAAGGCGGGAAAGAGTTCCCCAAATATATCTGGCCAAGGAGACCTCAGATGGGGTCACACCATCTTGGAGACAGCCTGGCATAGTGATTCGAGTGCTGATCTAGGACTCTGTGAGACCAAGATTCGAATCCTCATTCAGCCACGGAAACCCACTGGGTGACCTTGGCAAAGTCCCACTCTCTCAGCCTCAGGAGGAGGCAGTGGCAAACTTCCTCTGAAGAAAGCTGGTGAGGAAAACCCTAAGATAGGGCTGCTGTTTTTGAAGACAGTCTGCAAAGGGATCTTGTAGCACTTTTGAGATTAACTGAGCGAAAGAAGTTGTAGCATTAGCTTTTGTAGATTTAGACTGCAACCGCACTGCTGAAATAATCCAGTTTGACACTCCTTTAACTGCCGTGGCTCAAATGCTATGGAATCCTGAGAAGTGTAGTCTTCTTAGATATTTAGCCTTCCCTGTCAGAGAGTTCTGGTGCTAAAATCAAACTACAGTTCCCAGAAGTCCATGGCATTGGGCCGTGGCAGTTAAAGGGGTGTCAAACCGGATTATTTCTGCATTGTGGATGCAGCCCATGAGTTGAAGTCACCGTGAACACAGGGAACCGAAGCAAGAAAACACTAGTTAGGGCCGGCCTTTTTTGGTTGTTGTCCTTGTGTTGGGCTTTTGCATTTGCTGTCCCGTCATTTAGCAGGCATTTCTTGCCGTCTTTGTCCCCAGGGCAAAAAGAGGGTTATTGACGCAGAAATGACTCTGCCCACTGTTACGTGGCGTTCCAAAGAGATCCATATCTGGTGCGTGTCTGTGTTGCCGTTGCGTTACGCGCGACTCCTCCTTCGGGTTCCTGGCGCACTGGCTGCCTTCGCAATGAACTTCCTGGCTGCGTCGTGTGATCCCAAGAGCGCCCCGTTGGCCGTCGTCACGAGGTCTTCCAGAAGCAAAGATTCAGGAAGGCTGCTCAGCATCTCAAGAGGAATCCCGGAGTTGGAAGGGACCCCCAAGGGCCATCTCATCCAACCCCTGCCATGCAGGGACCCACAGGCAAGCCAGCCAGCCATTCCTAAGAGACCCCCAAGGGCCATTGGACTGGATGGGTTCTGTGATCTCTTAGGAATGATTTGCCTGTGGGTCCCTGCATGGCAGGGGCTTGGATGAGATGGCCCTTGGGGGTCCCTTCCAACTCCAGGATTCTTCTTGAGATGCTGAGCAGCCTTCTGCCATGCAGGAAGACACACTCAAAAGACTCCTGCCCAGATGCCCATCCAACCTCGGTTTAAAGACCTCCAAAGATGGAGAGTCCACTGTCCTCTGAGCATATTCAGCTGTCAAAACAGCTTTTGCCATAAAGGGGTTTCTTCCTCTGTTTAGGTGGAATCTCTTTTCTTGCACTTTGAACCCATCTTCTACATGGCACCCCTTCAAAGATTTAAAGATGACTCTCATGTCACCTCTCAGGCTGTATCTACACTGCAGAATTAATGCAGATTGACCTCGCTTTAACTGCCACATGGCTCAATGCTATTGAATACTGGGATTTGTAGTTGTGTGAGATGTTTAGCCTCCTCAGTCAGAGAGCCTTGGTGCCACAACAAACTATAAATTCTGGGATTCCATAGGCTGGAGCCATGATATCAATCTCCTTTTCACCAAGCTAAACATAGCTAGCTCCCGAAACCACTCCTCCCAGGACTTGGTGATTTCCAGGCCTTTGGCCATCTTGGTCATCCTCAGGACATGTACCAGTTTGTCTTGAATTGTGATGCCCAGAAGTGGACACAAAATTCCTCCAGGTGAAGTCTGACCAAATCAGAAGAGGGTGGCTCTACTGCTTCCCACAATCTTGGCACTATACTCCTGTTGATGCCGCCTGGAATTGTGTTGGCCTTTTTTGATGCTGCATCACAGTCTCAACTCGTATTTCGCTTGTGCAGATCCTTTCTGCTGTCCTTCGCAGACCACATTTCCTTGGCTAACCGGCTGTATTTTCTCTCCTCCTAGAAAAACTGGGGATCTCCTCCCGACGCCCCCCTCCCCAGTCTTCCCGACTGGGCCATGTCTACAGAGAGCTCTCCTCTGCTCAGTTACCGTCTCTTCCGGGTGTCAGGGGAAGCAGAGATGCCGGGGGTCACGCAAGAAGAGGCCCCGCTGGTGGTGGGGGTGGTGGGCTCAGGCGGCCCACACCCCGATCCAGCCCGCCAGCTCTCCACTTTCTTCGGTGTCATCGTGCCCACTGTCCTCTCCATGTTCAGCATTGTGGTCTTCATGCGTGTTGGTGAGTAGGCGCCGGAGCAGGTATCACGGGTGATCCAGGGCTGCTGTTCTGGGAAGAGAGAAAGGGGGGAAATCCCTGATTCTGCAGGTCATATTATCCCCCATCCTCCCGCTAGACCCTGACCTGGGCAAGATCAGATTTGAACAAGCCACAGAGTTGGAGAACATTCACATGAACATAGCAGGGCCCCAAATGTTGTGACTTCAGACATTCACTATGATGGGGTGGGTTTGAATTGCGGAGAGGTGGAAGGAGGGCTGGGATGAGTTAAAGGATATTAGAACTGCAGTGCCCCCTGCCCTTCCTCAATTTAGCTGCACCTGTGCAATTGCGGCCTGATCCGTTTGTCCAAATTCACCTCAAAATGTTTGAAACCCACAAAGTATGTGACTTCGTTCTGCCAGGGAAAGAAGGACTTGTAACTCCCAGAATCCCCCAGCTGGCAGTGTTGAGGTAAATATCCATAGCTCAGTAAAGTTTATTTTGGAGGGGGGGCAGAATCCAAGGCTGGCTGCCGAATTTTGGGATTTATAGTCCAAAGCCTAGATCAGAGGTAGGAAATTTATATTTTTGGACTACAACTCCCAGAATCCCCCAGCCAACCTTGGACTCTGCCCCCCAAAAGAAACC